AAGCCGGGACGGAGCACGCCGGGTTCTCACCGGACCAGGCTCTCACATCACCAAGCGCGAAGCACCGTGAGGTATTCGGCGGGGCTATTTTCAGTCGTATGCTCTTGTTTTTCTCTGTAACCTGCTGTTGTGGTGATCTTCGAAATCAATGGAATGCGTCGGGTTTGGCGCGTGGATAATTTTGTAGTTTTTCGTAGTCTGCGTGTGATGTGTGATGTGTGATGCGCTTTTGTCGAATGCTCTCATAGAAGTGTCACGTTTGTCCGCCTGAGTTTTCTTTCCCCTTACCCCTCCCCCGCCCCCGCCCTCGCCGGCATCGCCTTGTCGGCGCGTCGTTCTCATTCCGATCTTCTTTGGCAGCTGATGCAACTGCTACCGTTGGTCTCGCCCCCGACGGCTCTGGTGGAAGCCCTGCCGCAGTTCGTCGGAGAGGACCCGGTGGATATCGCCAACGTGGTGAAGGAGTACAAGGACCTGCTGGAGGGAGATCGCTCCATGCTCGTGCACGTGATAGGGTAAGAGAGATTTGAAACGTGTCAGTTCAAGGGCATGCACATGCAAGTGTAGGGTACGAGAGGTTTCGCACGTGCCATTTTCAAGGGTCGCGATGCATTGTCGTGCACATCAACGTTCGAGATCCTTGTCCGTTCGCCAAGAGACAGAATGTTGCGAATCGTGCAAAATAGTGCAGGCGATACTTGTAGTGCAAGATGTGATGTATGTGTTGGGGATTTCGATGCGACACGCTTTTCTATCCGTTGCGGCAGTCTCCTGTCTGTGTCTGCCAGACAATGCAAGCTGGCAACAGTGTCGGGGTTACCCACCGGGTAATTTTGCGTAACGAACGTTGTCTCTGCTCTTGAATCGAAAGAAAATCTTGGGCGCTCACGTGTTTTACTCGCGATTCTACGTCCCGAGGACGCGTACCCTGGTTCCTGTACTTAGCGCTACCCCTATACCCCCCCCCCCCCCCCCCCCCCCCCCCCCCCCCCCCCCCCCCCCCCCC